TAATTTCATGTGTTTAAAAATGTGAAAGCTTCACTAAAAAACTTTTTTGGTGCCATAGGGATTTAAATTAATGCTAGGATAGGGCAATTCCTATATCTAAAGGAATGCAAAGGGTCTACTGGGAATTGTTTAAAGGAGTTTCTCCTATCATACTATTTAATTGATCTTTGTGTCAAAAGAGATCAACTGTTTTTCTCCTGTTTATTCATTTAATATTCTGTAAGTATTTATCTTGTGCTCAACCTTGGGTAGGCACTGAGGTACAAAGATTAATGATATCTTTTTTGATATGAAGAAGTTTCTTCCTTACTAATGAAGGTTTTTGCATTAGTAAATAATGATAATATGAATTTTTACTGTAAATAAAGTTGGGAATAAAAGCCTAAAACAGAGTGAGACTAACTTTGTCACTGTGATGTTGGGAGCAGCTTTGGAGAGGAAATGATATTTGAGCCTGGTGATGAAGAGTGATTAACAGTCATTAGGGCTGAGGGTGGGGCATACCTGGAATAGTTACGTGAGACCAGCTTTCACATCACAATAAAGAGCTAGAAGGGCTCAACAAAGCACTTTCATGTTAGACCTTATAGGAAAATTACAGAGAGTTGTACACTGAGAAGGAATCAGATAAAAATATTTGACTACCAAAAAAAAAAAAATAAAAGAATAAACGTTTTCTTTCCCCCCAACAAAATTCCAGGGTACTAGATAGATCTGGAATTAGACTTCAAAGAGGCAATCAACAAAGGAAGATGTATTTCCCAGGTCTGTATTATTATTATAAGTTACCTTCATGAAGATATAAAGCATGAAAACAAAAAAGAAATGAAAGACAGTTTAGCTAAATCCATAGGCAATTGCTACATATATACATGAGCTCATTAGATGAAGCCACAGATAGCAGGAATATGTTCCTGAACTTCAGAACTTGACCTCATACTTTGTAATGATGCATTCCCATACGTTGACTGGCCCAGAATACCTGCATGAGTGCCCTATTCTGACATCACATTTTCTTGCGCTTTACTAATATTCCAATAAACATATTACATTATAAAATACTCTAAGAATTACAAAACAAAAATAACTAATGGGTACTAGGCTCAGTACCTGGGTCACAAATAATCTGTAGAACAACCCCTCTTGAAATGACTTTACCTGTATAACAAACTTACATATGTACCTCTGAACCTAAAACAAAAGTGTTTTTTGTTTTTATTTTTTATTTTATTTATTTATTTTTGAGACACAGTCTCACTCTGTCACCAGGCGCCAGGCTGGAGTGCAGTGGCATGACCTCGGTTCACTGCAACCTCCGCCTCCCAGGTTCAAGCAATTCTCCTCTCTCAGCCTCCCGAGTAGCTGGGACTACAGGTGCCTGCCACCATGCCCAGCTAATATTTTTTCACCATGTTGGCCAGAATGGTCTCGATCTATTGACCTCGTGATCCGCCCACCTCGGCCTCCCAAAGTGCAGGCATGAACCACTGCACCCAGCCAAAAGTGTTTTCTAAAAAAGAATTATACTATGATACCAAGAAAGAGTACTACACAGTTTAGGGCACTACAACTTTTAAAGTATTTTAAAATAATAATCCATGCTTTAGAAAACACAGTTTTTTGTCTCTCAGAAAAGCGGATCCCACTCTGACTTCACTCTCATCTATTAAATATTCCTAGAAAGTTGGTCTGAAGAACCCAGAGAAGTTCAAGAACTGCCCCCTCTTATGCCTATCTGAGTAAGTGTGGAAGTTACTGCTTACTGTTGTTTGAGGAAAGAATTTGGGATTGAAAGCAGCCTCCAGCTGCCCAGTTGTGCAGCTTGAAGGACAGTTACGTATTTCGGTGACTCAGTTTCCTCATCTGCCAAATGGAAATCATACTTTTGTTGTTGTTGTTTATATTGCTCACAGGGATGTCATGAAGGCAAAAATCACATAAATAACAATAAACAACATAGAAGGTTTAAAAGCTAATTGAAAAAACCCTAAGATATAAGGATCTGTGCATGTTGTGGACATGTGCTATATCAACCAGCATGTATTAAGTCCAAATACGGTAGACTTCCCCTGAAGTAAAGACCCTGATATTATCTATTGCTCAGATAGTGCTCTCTTTAATTCTGTTATTTGGTAAAAGTCTCCAAAATTTCAAAAGTAGTAACTCTGTCCCAAGCATAGTCACTTTAGTAATGGATGGTCACTAATCCATTACCATGTGGTAACAGAAGAATCCTGTGGCCAGCTAGATTCCCATGGTAACACAATTCAATCTGAAACAAGAGGTCTGAGGCTTCTGTTCTTCTCAATCTCTTCTCCTATTCTAAATCCCTTAAATTGAATTATGTTTTATTTTTAAGGTTATTCAAGGATTATGTTTGTCCCACTAATTTCCTTAGATAGTTACTGTCATAAAACCAATCATGTTGATTTTAACAAGGTGAATTTATCAGATTGGAAAGCAACCTGGACATAGGCAGCTCTCAATTTTACACCATTGTGCCTTGACTTGCTTCCCAGGGGTGAAATACTCATGCATTTCATATTTACTTGGGATGACTTACCGAAATGCCTACTATCACGGTATAGAGTAGATGGCAATAGATTACTACAGCTAATTAAGTTTAAACAGTATTGCACTTCTCATTCAAATATGAGAACATTTTAAGGGAATACAAAAATCCTTAAAAAATTAACAATCAGGTTAAAACAATTTAGAGATACAAATGTGAATTTTTAATCTTTCAGGTCTCTGTGTTTATGGTAGTTTTCTTATATTAGGGGAATTAAGGTAAATTCTGTTCAGCAGCTTGCCAAAATCTGCCTGAGCTCCATAGGTAATGCTCTGCCAGTAAAGAGAAAAAGGGTAAAAAAGAAAATCTGAAATTTTTATCTCTCACATGAAACTCTCTCTTTAAAAAGGCTCCTAAGACGATTATGTTCCTACTTCCATAAAGACAATCTTTAGAGGCCTTGACACATTTTCAGCAAATATATAAATGCAGCCTCTTCAGCTAGTCATTCTTCACTTAATATTTTGAAATATGATACTACAGAATGTTTTCCAAAATTGGAATAGAGACCACAATTTTAAAGTAAATGCTACCACTCCACCCAGCTAAGGTAAAATTATGTGTATGTGTGTGTATGAGCAAAAAGGCAAAATATTTTATTAAAAAGTATAGGATATAGGCCGGGCGCGGTGGCTCAAGCCTGTAATCCCAGCACTTTGGGAGGCCGAGGCGGGTGGATCACGAGGTCAAGAGATCGAGACTATTCTGGTCAACATGGTGAAACCCCGTCTCTACTAAAAATACAAAAAATTAGCTGGGTATGGTGGCGCGTGCCTGTAATCCCAGCTACTCAGGAGGCTGAGGCAGGAGAATTGCCTGAACTCAGGAGGCGGAGGTTGCAGTGAGCCGAGATCGCGCCATTGCACTCTAGCCTGGGTAACAAGAGCGAAACTCCGTCTCAAAAAAAAAAAAAAAAAAAAAGTATAGGATATAATATTTTAGAGTAATTATAGCTGATGAACTTGAAACTTTTGTTTGTAATTTTACAGAAAGTCATACTTTGCTATTGAGGTTTGTTCAGTCATTCTAAGAGATAAACATGGTGTCTTAAACCAATAATTTTGTCCTTAAATTTTTATATATGTTACACAGATTTGGATTGTTTCAGGATCTCACTCTAAAGTTTATTTACAATAGAATTACTCATTTGAGCAGCAAGATTCAAGCTGCAAGATTCAAGATTTTTTTTTTTAATGAGTTGATTTCCTTCTTGAAGTTTAGTTTTATGCCAGGATTCCTTTTATCAATACATAGAACACTAAACTATGACTTGGTTACTCAAAAAAGTAAAAGCATTCAGATGACCGACTCTGATTTACAGTAGGAATCAAACCGTTAAACCCAAGTTAACACGTTTTTTTTGCCTCTCTGGCATACACTCAACAATTGTCCTTTTTCAGAACTATGATCATGCTGTGTTCAGTGATATTTTAAACAAATACTATGTAATGCTTCAAAAAACATGGAGGGTAAGGATGGAGTCTTTTTGAGATAGACGACATAATAGTGTGCCATTTTTAAAAAGCATCATAAGGAAACGATAACAGAGTATGAATTATTTTTCTCCTCCCTCTCTCTTCACTCTCACATGTACCCTCAGTTCAGGTGGCCCGTTCACACAACACATATACTTGGGGAGGTTCTTTTGCTTCCCATGAAAACAGGCAAGAACAAAAATCATCTTTCTGTGCACTCTGACAGTGACCAGTTTTTCTCCTCATCCACAGAGTTAGGAAGACAAGAGATCTGCAGCTGAAAGGAGTATAAGTGGCAGGCAGTTCTGCAGGAGTAAGAGCATAATATTGCCTGGGAGACTTCACTCAGAAGTCATATCCTACACTCTAAAGTATTCTTTGCACTTAACCAAGAAAAATTTTTAGTTGGACTAGGTCACAAAATCCCCAAAACAAGAAAATCATTAGAAATTCTGACTATGGTGAGACAAAACAGACATTAATTTACTACTAATTTCTTGGTGAATGCAACACATTATCCATCAGTATGAGTTCACACAGCACCCACGAGTGAATTAGGAAAATGCAGTTCCTTTGGGCCGCTAAACCTCAATGAGCATGTGGCTATGAGTGGAACAGCGGCTGAATTCCAACAACCTCTTACCGACTCAAGTAGGCAACCTCATGAAGGGAATAATCTGAACAACTAGACATGGAGATCCTATTTATACTGATCTCTCTCTTGAGTGCTTTACAAATAATAACACAAAAGTAATATATCTAGAACTTTTATCTGTAGCCTTTACACAACAGGGTTGTGTCATAGTGAGACTGTAAAATTGTCTACAGCAAATACCAGGTTAAATTCAGGTGATCATATTACTGAATAAAGACTTCCTGTAATAACGTCATCGAAGAGTGACCAAGAAAAGTCTCTCTCCTTGCTGTCACTACTAAGACAGTGGAATACTTACCACCATCTTCAACCGCAAAATAGAACATATCACTTGTGGCATCAGCCCCTCCTCTTAAGACATAGCATATTTTCATGTCATCAATGTCAGCTAGAAAATAACCAAAAACAAGATGATTAACAGAATAAAATTGATGACTAATTATAGTAAATTTTATTGACTACTGGTTTTCCTATAAACATGCTTAAATTCCTTTTTCCTCCTAAGAGAAACAGTGCTATCTTATTTCTCAGATCTCTAAGCCACTAGATTTCAGCTGTCCCATGGAAACCTGATCCCTTACACAGATAAATAGAGTACAAGAGTTTATAATAATAGCAAGGTGTTGCCCCTCCCAGTGGTATTTGCATGTTCATGCACCAAAGGAATGACTATCTAAATATGGAATGCCAGGCACCATGACAGGTGGAAAGCAAGATATTTTGAGGCATGGCAGATTTCCTGGCACTCTTGAAATCACATCCTTTGCCTCCCTGTAAGGAAATGGCTTGCAGAGGACAGAGGCTTTGCTTCTTGACACTGGCTAATTTTTCTTACTTTTTGTGCTGTAGCAGGCTATTTTTTGGTCTCCAAAGTTTGAGAGGAAAAATGAAGGTGATATTTTCAAAAAATCACACACATTGAAATAACTGATGACTCCCTGTTGAGACCAAAAAAACCCAAAACACATTTAATACAAGTGGAAGCTGGCCGGACACAGTGGCTCATGGCTGTCATCCCAGCACTTTGGTAGGCTAAGGCAGCTGGATCATATGAGGTCAGGAGTTCGAGACTAGCCTGGCCAACATGGTGAAATCTTGTCTCTGACAAAAATTAGCCACGTGGTAGTGGTATGTGCCTGTAATCTCAGCTACTTGGAAGGTTGAGGCGGGAGAATCACTTGAGCCTGGGAGGCAGAGGTTGCAGTGAGCTGAGGTTGCACCACTGCACTCCAGTCTGGGTGAGAAATTAAGACCCTGTCTCAAAAAAAAAAAAAAAAAAAAGTGGAAAGCTTATTTCTAGCAGAAAGTTATATCATCTCAGAAATGTTCCTTATGTTGTTTTCGACTCTATCAAATTCACATGCATACATTTGTTTTCATGACTAAGACATGATTTTGAAAACTTATGCATCCATCTTACCAGTTCCTTTCCTTAATGATGCCACACATACAACATAATACAAAAAAATTATGCCTGGACGTGGTGGCTCATGGCTGTAGTCCCAGAACTTTGGGAGGCCAAGTTGGGTGGATCATGAGGTCAGGAGGTCAAGACCAGCCTGGCCAACATAGTGAAACCCTGTCTCTACTGAAAATACAAAAATTAGCCAGGCATGGTGGGGCACACCTGTAGGCCCACCTACTCAGGAGGCTGAGGCAGGAGAATCTCTTGAACCTCGCAGGTGGAGGTTGTAGTGAGCCGAGATCGCACCACTGCACTCCAGCTGAGTGACAGATTATATCTGTATCTCTATCTATCTATCTATCTATCTATCTATCTATCTATCTATAGATAGATATATATCATTTTGTCCTGTGATATTTATAATAGATCATTAATTGATCCGGTCCAAACAGTGAGTTTCTAAGGCTACATAAAGTCAAGATCATGGCTAAAAATAGCTATGACAATGATAGGTAATATTTACCTGTCTAATGTGTGTTCCACAGTTTTTCCATCTCCTAAAAGCTCTACTAAGTTCATGCTATGAAACTCAGAGGCTTATATAGAAGACAATGGCTTTATGAAATGTTAGTCTCAAGTGAGGCAAGGTATTAGGATGGACCAATGACCTCATAAATTTCTATAGCTCCACTTTACAGATGTAAAATGTGTGCTCTACCCTGGCTCATAAAGTTTTGAAAGAGAACACTTGCAGAAGGGAAAATCTGATTTTATACTTAATGGTACCTTCCTGCTAATAGAGGTATTTGGAGGTAAAACACGCCTAAGATGTTTGATTCTCCCTTAGTACTTCATTTCTTTTTTAAAAAAAGAAATTTAATATAGAGATGGGGTCTCACTATGTTGCCCAGGCTGGCCTTAGCAGTCCTCCCACCTCTGTCTCCCAAAGTGCTCTAAGATTACAGGTATGAGCCACTGAGCCAGGCCCCTCATTTCTAACTCTACTACAACTTTCCACACTTGCTGCCTGGTTTCACTTTTATCTTTCTGTGTGGTTATGTTTCCCAGTGGATTAGATCACCCTTGCATATCTACTTTTGCATGAATGATGTTTCTGCCAGGGTAAGGACTGAAGCCCCTGCACAACTCTTTGCCTGTTTTCTCTTATAATTCTTAATTTTATAACCTTCACTTTATCGGTAAAAACATGCAGTAAACTCTGCTGACTACACATCTTTACCGTAAGAACCATGACCTCTGGCCATGTGGGGGAAGACCCTCTTTCAATGTCCCCACCCCTCCAAATTGTGAAAGAAAATCTAAAGGCTCTGCTAGGAGAAAAGAAACTGTTTAGCGTGCCTAGCACCTGCAGCAATGTTTTCTTAAGCAAAAATATAATTATTAAGGGATAGTTTCATTGAAATAAATCCTCACTTCAAAACTGAATTTTAAGAACTTTTTTTTTTAAGATAAAGAGAACATAAATGAAACTATACGGCACTCACGTACCCAATTCTCTCCAAGTTAGGGCATGTGTTATTGATTAGTTGGAACATACTAAAACCTTTAAATTTTTCATATAATTAATTAATAATTCACGGTTCAAAAAAGTAAGTAAAGACTTTTGTCATGATCCTGGTATTCTAAAGGCACCTCTGCATATAACATAAACAGAGCATAAATACGTACAATGTCTAGCTTTCTTAAGACACATGAGTAGTAGAATGATAATCTAATAGCCAAATTTTATCTTTTTTTAAGCAAACGTCTAAGAATTATCTAAATTTTCTTCCAGTTGTTAAACATACAATAAATTCATTTTAGTTTATGCACAAAATCATTCCATGAGATTTTCTGTTTGTTCGTTTTTAATTCTAAGTTCATTAACATGCCAGGCAACCATATCTGGTTCAAACCCTTTGAAGACATTTCTGCTCTCCTGAAACTGATTTATGAATTAACCCACAGAATATGTCATTATGTACTAATTGTAGGGAAGAAAAAACGAAGTACTTGAGACATGCGATTTAGATCTGGGTTGGGGGCAGCAGGGGCAACTCGGCAAAGAGGTGAAGTTTGGAATACATAAATGATGTCCATAATTTACCTAATTATACATTGTTAATTTTCCATCGATTTGGTAAGTTTTCGAAAGGAATTAATTTTTTTCTCCTAGGAACCACTTAGTCAATCAATTTAGGAATAACCTTCTCTGGCCACCTGTGCTAAATTGACTTAATTCAGCGCATTGAAAATCCATCAAAATATAAGTTTACCTGATCCTTCCATGATAAAGTAAAAACAAAAACAAATAAAAGGACTGCATGAGAAGCCTGCACTGTAAGCACTGCTTTCATTTCTCCTACTGGAAGAAGAGCCACAGAAGCTTTCTGATGGCGCTTTCTCCGTTTTTTAAGCCACTCACCTAATCTCCATAAATAAGAGCTATGACTCAAACTCCAGCCTAGACTTGTTCGAATGAGTGCTGTGTGATTAAATACCAGCAGCTTCCCTAGTCAATATTTTGGTTTGTATTGGAATGTGATAATTTTCCTTAAAAAGGTAATTCTTTAAAAATCACATCACATAATAAGCATAACTTCTTTACATTTATAAAGACGTTAAAAATTAACCATGGTGCCTCAAAGTCAGTAAGAGACTGAACAACTGCCTGTAAAGAAATCGAATAATGTAACTTCAGAAATAATATTCTAATATTTTGAGCTGTTGGACTTAGTCCACAGAACTTAAATTAAGTCATTCGCCTGTCTTCATCAAAATAGTCCTTTTTAAAAATCTCTAAAATCCTATTTCTTTTTCAGGTCAGAGGAGTAATTGGAAGGACTGTTTTCTATCATCTAATATATTCCTTTCATTCTCTTCCCTTTCCATGAAAAGAAGCCAGCGTAAGACGGCATGGCACCGCTAGCCTCAGAAAGCCTCCATGTAAAAGTTTCCTACTGGTCTAGCATGACACTTGGCACTTTGAGGTTTTCCTGTCCCTGCAGGCCCTGGGATACATTCAGGCTCTTAGCCAAGAATCAGGAGGTTGGAGTGTGGAGCTATTTGTCAGCACCCAAAACAGAGAAGTAGTTCACTTGAACACTACATTTTGCTACATCCGTGTTTATTAAAGCATTTGTTATCTAAGACCATAACACAGTTGCAGGAAAAGAACACCCCCATTGGGATGCCCTGGGGTTAAGCTCCATCTTTACCCACAGATCCCACATAGGAAAGATCTAGTTTCCATTCTGACATGGTGAGATTTTCATGAAAGGAACTCAAATCCCGTTGTAATGAAAGTTGCACATTCTACCAAACAGAGCCCTGACTCCCAAGCCAGCATAGTGAACGGGCTTCTCCCTTCCCTCACTAAATAACTGCATAGGTCACTTGTCCTTCCTGCTTCAGACTGTGCCTACCACAAAGGCAATTCAGGTTAGAAAAACCCTGTTGCCTGAAGAATGCAGGTGCCTGAGGCAACTGTTTTTTGTTGCTGTGTTTGCAACAGGTCAGAGAGGAGGTTCACAGTGCTAAAATAATTTCCCTCCTCTACCACTAATCTTGTTTACATATATTCATGTTCTTAATAATGAACTAGATGCATGTTTTGGTGATGAATATATTGTCATTTTCTACGTCTCTAAGTAAAGTATACTTTCTTTTTTCATGTATATCACAGTAGCATGCCCTGTACACATCACTGCTATTACTCTAGATAGGTGTTTATCGCTTACGTCTCTGGATGGGTATTTGCCTGAGTCATAAAATATCACTAAAAAATGTAAAAATCTACAAAGTAAATAAACATAAACAAATCTACTAGTTACAAAGTTCCTAACAACCATAACTGTGTGAGAATAATGCTCTTAAAATTTAATCGAAGTAACGTAAGTTTGAAGGCTTTTCTGGAATGGTACTCGATAATGACAGCAACGTGACTAAACAGAATTTAGAAAGCACATCTTCCATTAAGGTGCCAAAATGCTTCATGAACCGCCTGCAGCATACAACACCGGGGATGCTCAGAGGATGGGTGTGGCAAATGGAGCAGAATTGGAAAGCCTGCTTCAATCTTAATTCACCAAAGTCCGCCTACTGCTTCAGCAGCATACCTTGCCACTTTCAAAATACATCAGTACTCCCTCTAACGAAGGTCACTGCGATGAAAAGTAGGACAAGAAGGTAGCTGTTCTCCCAGGGAAGTGAGTCCCTGTGTCCTCCCCATCCCCTTTGTTCCCTTCCTTCTCTAGGACTCTAATTTGATGCTCTATTTATAAGGCTTTCAGTGAAGCCATATTCTCTGGAATGAGACCTGGAATGTCCTTTGATAACCGAGAAAAGAAACATGAAACATACCTTGGGTAAACTGAGTGATGCTGTGGTTGCCTTTGTCCAGGTTGAGGAGATACCCATGTTGAGGGGCCTCTGTCACAATAAACCTCAGAGAAACGTGTAGGCTGTCTCTGTCCTCCACTTTCAATATTTTGCTTGTGATCATGAACCCCAAGTGGCCAGTGGCTAGAGTGCGAAGTGTAGAGGCCCCCTTATTCACTGTGATTTGGGGGACACTGTTGTCAACAGCTAAGACCTGGATCTTCATCACTTGGGGTCTCCTTGTTTCAAATACCGTATTGGGAAAAACGTAGAAGTCTGTATGGGTGCCATCAGTCACTGTGAAGGAGAAGCTATCTTCGCTTGACTCGGTACCATCATGTTTGTAGCTGATTAAGTTTTCATTCAAGTCTTGCTTGGTAAAAACCGTGACAGGTCTGGTACTGTTGAATAGGAGATGGCCATGAATAGGCAACTGAGTGATAGTGAATTTCAGGAGCTTGTCAGGAGTATCTCTGTCTTCCACAGTGAGTTCAAAGGGGGTAATCAGCTTGGTTTCACTTTCACTGACGACCAGGTTGTGGATGGTGATCACTGGCTTTTTATTGTCCACATCAGTAATGGAGATACGGAATGTCCGAAAGACAGGGTTACGTCCATCAGTAACTTGAAACTCAAAACTGTCCATCTTCACTTCGTCATCAGCTGTGTGGATGTAATAGATTTTGTTTCCAGCCAGTTGCAGCTGAGTGAAAGATGCGATGGACACTCCAGGCTGATCTGTGCACTCCAGGTGACCTCTCATGGGAGCCCTGGTGATGGTAAAAACCAAGTTTTCATCAGGACTGTTCAAGTCACTAGTGCTTAGTAGGTCTGTTGTGAGAGTGACCTTGCCACCTTCTTTCAAGGACACTCCCTTACTTATGACATCAGGGAAGACAATGTCAATGCTCCCGATGGACACATAAAAGTAACGATCTATGAGGGCATTTATCCCATCAGTCACATCAAATTTAATTAGGTCCCGAATGCCCTCTTGCCCCAAATGGACATACTGAATTAAATTTCTGTCTACTTGATCCTGGGTAAAATTCATGCCCAGTGTGATATTTTCAAAGGCACCAGTAGGTTTTCGTCTCTGTAATAAGCCGTGTCCTGGCCCATAACGAATAATATAAACCAAAGATTTGTCTTCTGAATCTAAATCCGTTGCCATTAATATTCTGTTGTTGATAATCTTGGTTTCGCCAATTTCTATTTCTAGTCCATTATTGATGGCCATTCTGGGTGTCTCATCGTCAACAGGGATAACCATAATGAGGACCATCTTTTCCACAGAGTGCTTCCCATCTGTTAGTTTAATCACAAAAGTGTCTTCCTGAGTCTCAGAGTCATCATGCTCATAAATAATGCTGGAGCTCTCTATGATCTGGTCCAAGGTGAAGCTTTCGACCAACACCGTGCCATTTATCAGCTGATTCATAATGTGACCATGAGTCGGGAATTGGGTAATAGTGAAAGTTAAATCATCCAGGGGAACATCAGCATCAGCAGCATTGAGAATGGGTGTATCGATGACCAGACTCATGCCTTCCATCACCATAAATTCTCTCATAAACATCTCTGGCTGTTCATCGTTGGTGGGAATGATTACAATGGGGAAGAACTGTCTCTCTGAAAAGTTAATGCCATCAGAACAACGAAATATAAATCGGTCCTCCACAGGTTCCACCCCTTTGTGGACACTCTGGACGTAGTTTATGTGGCCCTGCCTGAGATCTTTCAAAATGAAAGCACTTACTGCAATCCCTGCTCTTGATTTCTCAGAGCCTGGTGCTGGAGATATGTTCTCGACATAACCTGAGGTAGGTTGAATAACTATAGTGCACAAGATGTCATCATTCAAGGAATCAATATCTTCAGCACTTATATGCATTGACGTTATAGCACTTTTATCACCTTCCATTACCATAAACTGTTCACCTACAGAGATTTCCGGGGCCTGGCTATCGACAGGCAAGATAGTCACCCATAGAGTAACTCCTTGGATAGCACTGCCACCAATTCTCCATTCTTGAGACCTATCTGACAGACTCAGGTTAAAAGAATCCGCTTTAGGCAAAAGGCCTATCTCACCACTGGTGTGGGCATATACAACGGAGCCCTCTAAGATGTCCCTTTGAGTAAACTGCTCTGCTGGAATGCCACTGACCAAGATTTCCCCATACAAAGGTGGATCTTCCAAGAGAAAAGTCAACATCAAGTCATCAGTTTCCTCATTGTTCCCCTTAATAACACTGGCAGTGATTTCAGTAGCCCCATTTTCTAAGACATCTAGATAAGACTCCAGTGTGCCAGTAGGATGGCTCAGTACGGGCACCTCATTGTCCACTGGCCGGACATTCACTCTGAGAGTGATGGGCACCACATGATGTCTGTCGCTAACTTCCAAGGAGCAGCTATCGGTCAGGGACTTGCCCCCATTATGGGCATAGGAAACTCGGCCCAGTTTTATGTCCTCCAAGTGGAAGAGACCCCCTACATGCAGGATCTGTCCAGACACTCTCATGTGGCCATGTTTGGGTGCCTGTGTGAGAGTGAAAGAGATATGGGAGACATCAGTGTCCACATCATTCACATGCAACTCTGTCTCACTCAGGATGTGGTGACCCTTCCCCTGAACAGTGAAGCCGGTGTTGAGGATCTCAGGTGGCTGGTTGTCCACGGGCTGCAAGTAAAGGGTAAAGGTGCCTGGAGCCACATTCCCAGCTCGGTCTTCCACCTGGAACTGGAACTGGGCCACTCGAGTAGCCACACCCAGTTCTTGACCCGGAGGTCTGTAAGCAATTTTATGATGGTTGATCTGGGCTTGGGTAAAATGGGTCACCACGACTGAGGGGTTGTCAGTCAGGACCAAGGTACCCAGTGGGGCTGGCGAGTGGTTTTCATCTGTGTCCGTGGGGGGCTGAGTCACTGTGTAACGTAGTTCTCGGTCATCTGTGTCTAGGTCAGTGTAGCGCAGCCACTTCTTCCTCAGTGGTGTGAGCTGGGATTCCTGTACCACCATACGAAGGGGACAGCCACTGCCCAGCTCTGGAGGGAGGCGATCCACAGGATGGATACGTATCACAAACCGCTGTAGCCCAGACTGATTAGGAGGGTCATGGTTATCCTGGACTCTAAATGTGAACTGGTCTGTGACTGGCCCAGGACTATGGGGCCCGGAGTGTCTGTAGAAGAGCCTGCCCTCTGTTATGTCCTGCTGCAGCCACTCTGTCACTGTTCGCTCATAAAATGCTCCCTGCTTCCTCCAAAGGCCCCTGAGAAGCTCCTGTTCCTCATGGGGAGGGTGAGTTTGGCGGAGAAGCAGATGCCCAGTAGTTAAGAAAGGGGATTCCAGCACAAAAAGGAGCAGAGAATCATCTGAATCCATGTCAGTCGCACTCAGGGAAAGGGGCAGGATGGGCACTGTTTCACCCTCTGCCAGTGTCAGCCCCGTGTTGGCATTGAGGACAGGTGGCTGGTCATCCACAGGCACTAAGGTGATGGGAAACAGAAATTGTACCTGGTGCCTGCCTCCTCCATCCACCATGCGAAGCACCAGGTTATCGCTCAGTGAGCCATCTCTGTCATCATGCTGGTAGACCACCTGGCCAGCTGCCAGCTCAGCCACTGTAAAGCTCTTGGGAGCAGAGCTGCCCCCGGAAGCACCCAGAATGACAAGGTGACCATGCCGGAGCCCAGCCACCACCTCCAGCCGCACTGCTTCTAGGTCGTCCTCATCGCTAATGACCAAGTTTTGCAGACCACTGCCTGCAGGGCCTGTGAGAGGTCGAGACTGACCCTCATAGAGAATAAGCCCAGTATTCCGGGTGACCACCGGAGCCATTGTGTTCATGGGCTTCACCACTACCATGAAGGCAAAAGGGTCTGAAGCTGCTCCTTCTGGGTCCACTACCTCCAGTTCCAGTTCAAAGAGACGCTCCTGGTCGGAGTCTTCAGAGGGGGGCTGGTAGGCAATCTTCAGGAGGCGCAGATCCCTCTGGGTGAAGGAGGAAAGGGGCAGGCTGCGATCATCGGTGCTTACCAAGTAGCCCTGGCCAGGCTGGAATGGAGAGGTGAGGTTGAAGATCAACAGGTCTGGGGGAGACTCGGCATCCTCGGCTGCCAGCATGTCTGGGGTCAGGGCTGTCAGTACAAACTGGTCCACCTCCATCATCATCATGGCCACAAAACTGGGCTTGGGTGCAGTGTTCTCGACCCCTCCTCGGATCCTCACCAGCACCTGGAAGTGCTCGCGTTTCAAAGCAGGGCTGCCCACAGGAGCCCCTCGCGAACGCAACTCCACCATCATGGGCATCCAGTCCCTGTTTGGTGAGCGACTGGCTGCTGTGTGGCGGTAGCGCACCCCTAGTTCCTGGAAAGCTTTGCAGTCCATCAGGAGAGGCTCCGGGGCGCCTCCCTCTGTGGCTCCTCCAGGGACCTGCGGGTAGTGGAGGAGCTCTCCATAGCGAGGCAGCGCGCCCAAGCCGGACAGGATGCCCACGCGGCACTCCTCTGTCTCGGGCTGGTAGGCGAACTCCAGGCTCCGCGCGTCCAAGACATTGCTGGTCCCCAGCAGTTCTTCCACGACCAGAGGCAAGTTCCGAGTCACAACCTCCAGCTGGGTGAAGACCACCTCCACCTCCAGCACCAGTGGTAGCACTACCGCCCCTCCCGGAGCGTCGTAGCGCAGCTGCAGCCGGACGCGGTCCCGAGACGGGCTGCGTGCGCCCAGGTGCGAGTAGCGCACCTCGCCAGGGCCAAAGTCGCACGGGAAGCGCTTGGGACTCAGGCGGCCGGGTCGCTGGGCCAGTGCGTCGTTGTCTAGCACCGAAACCGCGCAGCGGTCCCCGGGCTGCACCTGCAACACCAGGTCACGCAGGGGATCCAGCCAGACTTCACGGCCGAAAGGCACCCGGAGTCCGCGGTTCGCCAGCACTATGGCCTCCTCAGCAGGGACCCCTGCAGCCCCCGCGAGACCAGGGGACAGCAACGCCCGGCCGAAGGCAGCGGGCTGTGCCGGGACGCGGCTTACCAGTGACAGGAGAAGCAGCAACAGCCGTAGCAGCAGCCGAGGCGGCGGCGGCGGTCCTGGTTGAAAGCTGGTGGAGTTGCCCGTCCCGCGCGAGGATAACCCGGGAGTCCCGGTTGCATGCATGGTCCGGGTGTTCAGGCTTGGACAGGTCAGACTGAGAGCATGCGAAGTCAGTCCCCGGGCAGACAACGAGAGACACCGCCGGGAAGTGCCAGGAACTCCGCGCGCTGCCTGCGGGGTCCTCCTGTGGCCGGGGCTGGGCCAGAAGGATGGCAAAGTTGCGCGGCGCGGTCCGGGCTGGAGCCTCAGCGGAGGAGACTAAGCCGTCCCAGCCGGTCCAGCTCCGCCGCTGGCGACTCAGTCGCGCGGAGAATTGAATCCCTCCACTTCTGCTTACCAGGTCCCCGGACCCTGAGCTTTGAGGGAAATCCCTCCCCTCGCACCCCCTTGCTTCAGTCGTCCCAGGAGGCCAATCGTTGGTCGGGGGAGGAGGCGCGGAGCTGAGGGTTGGGTAGTAATTTCTGCCAATCAGCTCTTAGAGGCCGAGGCGGGGAAACTCTGAGGAAGGGAGGAGATAGAGGCGCAACAGGTTGTCTAGGAAGTGAGGGGAGAAGTGGCCCGGAGTTGCCCACCCTTGCTGGTGCTTGGGTCTGGGCTGCTATTAATAGATCTGGGACTCCTGCAGAGGAGCCGGAACGCACTGCTGTGCTGAATTCACTTCATCTGCATGCCACCGAGGGTTACCCATTTTAGCCACCCCCACTCCTGCTCCCTATTCCATGAAATCCCCCGCAGGGCATGATCACTTCTCACAGAAACTTGCAAACCCAGGGGCAAGTTAGTCGCAATGCTGTTTGAGTTTGAAGCGTTTGAGAAATTCTGCTGCATATTTGCAAAAGAACAGCTGGAATTAAAAGCCATAGCGAGAGCAGGTTGCACTGCAGCCCAGCCCCCTTCGGCGCGCCCCCAAGCTGCCTTCTCCTTGTAAATTACAATGGGCGCAGTCCTCCGATTGGCGAGTTTTTAACAAGCTCCTCCTTTGCAACCGAGGTTCACCGAGTAAAAGGAAAAAAGGGCATTTGGAATGCGTGAGAAATGCAGTCTGATCAGAATCGCTAGTCTTGCACCAAAGAATAAATTCTAGGGAATGCGGCCCCAGGCTCTCCCAAATCCGCCTCTGTTAGCGTAGCTGTCATTAGAGACGTTCCTGTTCTCTTCGTAGTAATTAGACCAAGCACAAACTAAACCCACTTGTCAGCATCACATTTCTTTGCATGCCACGAAAATTGATAAATATCCGGAGGGCACACTAAAATAGTTTAGATCGCCTTTCAGCCAGCCGGTTTTGAAGTCAGAGCTTGAGCTCTTCCTGCCCCCTTGTGTTTGGTTTCATTAGTGTGTAGATTCCCTTCCTAAAAAGTTTTCTATCAACTCCCCTTCCCCCTCAAAAAAGATCCCTTATAATTTAAACTTAACCATTTTCGGATTGGCTTCTAAGCAATCATGGTCAGAATGTTTTATTTAGGATGATATTTTTGTTTCCCCAGTAATACAAATCTGATTGTTAACAGGAATATAGAATTGAAGTAATAGATTGCCCTTTTCCTGCTGCGAGAGACTTCGAATTTGGAAAAGAGAGAAATACAAGAAAGTGTTAATGCTGTTTTACATTTCAGTCTAAATTGATGCTAGAAGGTGTCTATGGGAGTAATTTCAGTAAGAAGTGCCTATCCTTTTAACCCTTTGTGCTTTGAGCTTGAGCTCCTCCAGACCAGGATTTTGATCCTTGCTTGACACAGTTACAGCTATTTTCCAGGATGCAGCACAAACTCTACACGTAAGTATGGCTGGGAGATGCCAGATTCTCCTTCATGAAGCCTACTGAGTGGTGTCTGTCTCCAGGAGTCAAGGACAGGAAGTTCTGACATCTTTCAGAAAGAAGCAAGAGATCAATTTAAAGGAGTGAGTCATCCAAGAAAGTGAGCAAGCAAAAAATTTTAAATATTAATCAAATATTAAATTATTGTTAATTAATTGATTAATATTAAATTTAAAAGTTAATTAAATATTAATTAAGATTATTCTCTGCCATCTGCATTGTTTGAGAAGCTTTTAAATCCCACTTAAAATTGATGAATACATTTCACAATTTATTACAAAATGAGCATCCAGGAACATAGAAGGATGTGGCCCTTACTTAAATACATTAGAAAATCTCTCATCTAACTCTTTACCAATTTCCTATTTTTATCATTATTTTATAATTTATTATGAGTATTTATTATTGCATACAGAATTCAAATTGCAGAATTAAAACAAATAAGATGCCAAGTAATGTAGGAAACCAATATCAGAATATGGCTCTTTTTATAGTTTATTTCGAATCCTGGTTGTGTGTTTGTATTGAAAAATGTCATCTGGAAGCAAAGCGACCCTTACCCAGACATTGTGATCCTGGGTAAATTCTGAGCAGGACCAGACTAACAGCTCGACCCTTAATGCTTCTTAGTGGCTCCAGGGTTTTCCTTTTAAAGTCCAACTCTGTTTGACTTGGAAGCGAAGATAAGATCAGCATTTAAAGTATGGTAGTAGACCTCAAGGGCAGAGTTCAATATTTTGTTTCATGGTAAGAAAAATACAGGCCCACATTTATTTTTACATAGCCTAAGGAAATCAATAAACTACATAATCTTTTTGACTTTTTAATTTAGCCTGCCTTGATTGAATTGATGGAATGATAGGGATTATTCTCTTTTTTTTGATAAATGTCTTAATTATTTGTTTTGCAAATCAAATAGAAGTTAGCACAAACCATCATTTGCCTAGATATATTTTGCATTAATGATCATTGATAAAATAGTGAGATGTTAAATTTTCATTTGAGAGCAAATATTATTGGTGAAGATCATCTCTCTTTAGGGTCATAGCTCAGTGTTAAAAGACATGAACACTTAAAATAGCAAGAAAATTATTTCACAGCCATAATTCTCAATATCACTTAGTATCATGAGGAATAAGTTAGCAAATGTGATTTTTTTAACAAAATTTGAGCTTATCTCATCACTTCTTACTTCTTAAGCCTTATAACACTTCCTACACATACCGTGGGCAAAATGTTTTAATGTCACACCAAAACATTTCCTCATGTCAACTTAGGTTTATTATTGATTGCTAATACACACAGATTAAGATTAAGCACTAGAGAACTTATTTCTCTAGTGGAAGTAATCTAATGAATTTATGATTCAGGCAAGGTATTTAGGTGGAAATACAATGGTAGGTCTAGGACTGGAGGTCAGACTGCAGCTAAAAATACATCTAGTTAAATTTTGAGAATTATAGTTTTCATTATATAGTTTATTTCATTCTTCTTAGGATTCTCTACTGGATCATACGATTCCAATAGAGAAGGTTGCCTCGTAGATGCTTTAAGAATACTTATAAATGAATTACTGAAGCTTCTTGTGAAACATTCTCATTCCTTCTCAACAAATATTTATTCTGATTTATGATTCTCTACTGGATCATAAGATTCCAATAGAGAAGACTCCTTCATAGACACTTTAAGAATACTTACAGCTGAATTATTGAAGCTTCTTGTGAAACATCCTCATTCATTTTCAGCAAATATTTATTCTTCAATAGCATCAACACTATAGTTTGTCTAAAAACACAGAACTCCATTGATTTCAGAGCAGCACAAGGGTTGAGGATAAACAGCCATGGACGGATTAACCAAGAGTTGGGTTCCGTTAGTGGTTCTGACTTCCACTAAACAATGACTTGCAGCAATTCTCTTCATGTTTTCCAACTCCAGTCTTCTCAACTGTAAAACCAGAGACGCAATCTTTGTGGCCAAATTCCCTTTTGGTTCTAATACGCTTGTGGCATAAGACAAAATTTATTTAAGACGACCTGCTGTTTTGCTTTCTCATGTCCCTTGGCCATTGGCTATAGGTTTCATTCTTGCCAGAAAGACTATTAATCAAAAACGTATCACTGCTACTAGGTCAGAAAATGTAGAACTCAAATTCATGCCCCTTGCCAATGACTCAATTGCTTCTGCCTGAAATATATAGAACAACATTTATATAAATTGACACGGACATCTTAAATACAACATCTCTAAATAACTATCTTTAAATCAAAAATAAAATTGACATAAAAATCTAGCAATGCAAAACGTATTAAAGTTCATCATAAGGATAGGTGAATTTTCAAGGTGGATTTATTATTGAGTAACATGTGGCTTCACAAGTGCCCAGACTTTCTGGACAAAGCTATGTTCAGATGGGAGTCTATGTGGGCGAGAAGAAAGAGCACTGGACTAGAGCTAGAATACCTGTTTTGAAACTGGCCTTCCTACTTGCTTGCTTGAAGCTCAAGACCAGTTACTATATCCATCTCTAAAAATGTGTAATTGAGGAGGAGGTCATTTATTTGCAAATATGAAATGTATATGTATTTATGTATAGATATATGCAAAGTGGAAATGAAGAGAAAGGGTCCATTGTTTTCAAACACCTTTCTCTCTCTGTGTGTATTTTTGAGACTTATTTCTTATTATTTAAATGAAAGATTAGAATGTTTGATTATGATAATATTATATCTATTAATTATATTTATTAGTTGTTTTATTTGTTTTCATTTCTTAACTGTATTTCCATTCTTTCTAGTGGCTTCTTCTTTGATTACAATTATGCTTAATTTTTCTCTTCCGTAGAACAGCAATCTCTCTTAACAAAGATAACCCCTCAATCTTTGCACACATCTCTCTCTTTCAGAATCCTGTGAATCATCTATATCTGCTGCTTCAACTTTTTCATCAAACTGGCTTATGAATCTTCTCTAAGGTGATGTGCACCTCACAAGTTATTTTGACCACAACTCCTATCCCTCTCTCCAGTCCATCAAGTTAAGGAAAATCTGTGTCCACAGTGTATCTTTCCACTGCTGTCTTTCTTTATCCTAGCTCAGCTCACCATTATTTTCCACCCGGGTTTCTTTGAAGTATAGCCTTCTGTTGCTTATTGAATGCAACTCATTCTCTTCATCTTTACATTCCATACTAAACTACAGATTTTTTTGTGACCACACCTACTGTTTGGCTTCTAGACCTTTCCTCATCTCACATGTCTTTACCTTTAATTTTTGGGTCACTCTGCTCTTTTTTATTTTCTGCACCGTCATCCCTGTCTGTCCTTGGGAATCAGTCAGCCTTATAGACCATTTATTGTTACCTCCTCATTTCATATTAGAGGAAATAGAGACAAAGAGGCTAAGACCTGAGAACAGAGCTGGAAAGGATGAGAGATTTCCGATTCCAAGGGCTGGTGTCTATAACCTACATTACAGACAGTTTGACCTGCAAGGATGAAGTCAAGTCCTTGTTTTTCCATGAAATCTGTGTCATCCATGCACTTTAATACAAAGTGT